ACACCACCAGAGGAACTAGGATACAAGGAGGATTCTAAGAGATTCATACAAGGTCCCTCACAGAAGGGGAAAGGAACAAGATCTCCTGAGCATATTGGGAGCAGGGGTGGATGGGTGGGTGCAGTGAGTAGAGAGGGAGTTAGGAGAAAGGGAAGAGGAAGAGAGGAGAACATGTGGGACCAGGAAGATTGAGTCGGGAGACGAATCGACGGGAGTGAAAAAAAGAGATACCACAAAAGAGGGTGTCATTATAGGTTTGAAGAGAAAACTGACTCTAGAAAAATGTCCAGAGACCTACAAGGATGACTAACAATTTGAGCAACAGTAGAAAGGCTACCTTATATGCCTTTTCCTGATAATGATATTGATAACTAACTTATATGCCATCATAGAGCCCTCATAGAGCTGATGGAAACAGAAGCAGACACCAACAGCTTAACACTGAGCCAAACTCCTGGAATCCAATTGCAGAGAGGGAGGAGTGATAAGAAAAGGGGTGAAGACCAGGCTACAGAAACTCACAGAGACAGCTGACTTCAACAAGGGGGAGCTCATGGACCCCAAGACTGATAGCTGGGAAACCAGCATTGGACCAACTCAGACCCCTCGAACATGGGTCTCAGTTAAAAGGCCCGGACAGTCTAAGGGAACCAGGATGTATCTCTGGTTCATGAAAGGACTTTGGGAGCACATTCTCCATAAAGGGATACTCCCTTAGCCTAGAGACAGGAGGGAGGGCCTAGACCCTACTCCAAATGACTTGACAGATTTTGTTGATCCCTCCTGGAAGGCATTATCCTCCCTGTGGAGTGGGGGGATGGGATGGGAGGGGATGTGGGGGGACATGAGAAGGAGGAAGGGAGGGGGATCAGGGATGGATATGTAAAATAAGAAAAATTATATATATATATGTACATATAAATATATATATACATACACACACACACACACACACACACACACACACACACACACACAAAATAGATCTCAGGGTAGCTTTAAGTAGCTCATTGGTGCCTGTGAGATGAGGTGATTGACAACAGTCTAAGGTCCTGCACCATTCCAGCAACCAGGGAAAGCAGTCTGTTGTAGGACTGGAAGTTGGGAAGTGGTGAACCCTAACAATTCCAAGGGGTAGAAATAAACAAGAAAACTGAATGTCATCATTCTTAGACAAGAATCGGCGCCTTCTGGCTGAGGGCTGAGAAATTAATTAAAGAGTTATTGGCCCAGAGCCTCTGCTCTTTCTGTCCAAGCAAGTGAGAGAGGAAAAAAATACAGAGGGAAGATGGGTGGATTCAGGGAGGGATAGAGAGAGGCAGAGAACAAGGGAGGTAGATGTGGATGGGTAGATAAGTATGCACATCTCCGTCTTTAGTCACTATATGTAGTTTTTCTGTCATCATGGAATGCTTTGTCAATTCCTTGTTTCTGTTTAAATCTAGAGCCAGTCTTACTACCATGGACTATTCTTCAAGGCTCTCATCTAATGTTTTTTAGGGTGAATAACAGTATAAACATCTCCCCAAGGGAAATACAAGCAAAATGTTCCAATCATTAAAAAAAAAAAAAAAAAAGAAAGACAGAAAGACAGAGAGACAGAAAGAAAGGAAGGAAGGAAGGAAGGAAGGAAGGAAGGAAGGAAGGGAGGAAGGAAGGAAGGAAGAAAGGAAATCTTCCAAAGACAAGACTATATGCATTCATGGTTAACCGAAGCAGCTGGCCACCATTTTCCCCCTATCAACAGGCAACTGGAAGTTCATGGTATACATTTCAGGATGGTAACCATCACCAAGTGTTCATTTTGTTAAAATTCTGGGGTAGGAAAACATAGGTTTACATGGATCATCCATCCTCAACACTTTAATAGACACCTGCTATTCCCGCCACTGTGCTAAATGCTGTGAACCTCTTTCATCTGTACATTTTATTGCTTAATCTTCCTGACAGATGTGTGCTTTTCACAAAAAAAGAAAAAGAAAACTGTGTTTACAAAGGTGTAAACTTGCCAGGTCCTTACTGTTAGCACAAGACACAGAGCCTCCTTGGAATCTATAATCTAGTTGAGCAGGGAGGACCTGAGTAATGATACCCCAAGGTATGTGTCATTGTAGACATACATTAACCCAGTGTGACTCCCACAGGAAGCTCTGGGAAAGCTTTTCAAGAATGAATAGAACTCTGACAGGTAAATGCTGGTCTGTGCAAAGGGAGGGGGAAGTGGAGGAGCAATGTAAAGTAAAGGGGGGATTAATAGAGGTGCAGGGACAAGGAGTGCCTAGAGGGTCAGAGAACTGCAAGGAGTGACAGGCTAGCAGAAGATGCCCATGGTCACAGGTAAAACTAGGTAAAACTAGCCAGCAAAATCATTTCCTCTAGGAGACAGATTTGTGTCTTAAGAAATGCTGTCTGGGGACTGAAGAGATAGCCCAGTGGTTAAGAGTCAGTACTGCTGCTGCAGAGGACCCGAGTTCAGTTCCAGATATCTACTTCTGGCAGCTCACAACTGCCAGTATGTCCAGCTCCAGGGGATTGGAGGCCTGTGGCCTTCACAGACACCTGTACTCTCATGCACAAACACATGCAATTAGAAATAAACTACATATTAGAAAGAGGAAGAACTGGTTTTTGCACCCTTTCACAGATCTCTGAATGGGCTGAAGGAGAGAGTAGGAAACAGGGATGCAGGATGAAAGTAGCTCAACATCACTGGCCTTGCCTAGGGAGCATACATATATACCAAAGAGCCTCTTCCAAGGAAAAAGAGGAATTTCACTTCCCATCTAGACTGATTTCTCATAAGCTACTTTTGTACCTATTCCTTGGAAAATAAAATGGGATGCCCTGAGGACTGGAAAGGTTTTGTTTTAGTTTTGTTGGTTCCTTGGCCTGTCGTTCGTCTGGCACTAAAGTGCAATCTTGATGCATCAGAAAGATGTAAACCAAGTGATGACACAGGAGACCAATGTGACGATGATGCACACTGGGCTGAGGGAGCCAGCTTTGCTTCACACTGGTACTAGAGAGTGTGAATGCGTGTGGGAAGTTATCACTAGCTCTAATCCATTGGATTGTACTGGATGGGGAGACGAAGACACCCAAGTTTTAAATCTAAATAGCGGTTAGAATGGTGGCCTTCTTATGGGAAATGAAGCAATGGTCTAGGAAGCAAGGTAGTAATGTTACTTTAAACACTTACACCTGGAATTAATGGTGAGACTTCCACAAAGAAATATCCAGAAACTGTTCCAAAGCCAGAGCTGGTGTTCAGAAGAGAATACGAACTGGAGAAAGCAAACCGGGAAGTCTGCCAGGGGGATGAAGCCATTCCTGCTGGTTGTCTCTGTTGAGGGGTGATGTGATGGATGGGCAGAAGAGCTGACCAAGGGCAAGCCTCTGAGGAAGAAGAGGGAGGAGGCTATGTAAAGAGACAGAGGGCAAGGAAGCCATGGCTGCTTAGGGAACTAGAAAAGTGAAGAGAGGAGGAGGAGTAAGATGTGTTTGCTGATGAAGGGCCTCTTCTCTGGCAGGCTTTCTGCCCTCCCAGCTCCAGTCCATCCAGAAGCTCCTATCTTGCTGATGGGCTTGGGCACAGATGGCTTTGGAAACAGTTGCTCACCTGTGTTTGCTTGGGTATCAGTGTGCCCTTTAGCTGAGATGTTCATTTCCTGTAAGCAAGGACTGAATGAAGCACAGTAAAGAGGACTCCAGGAATCCCGGGAACATTTTCCGGAGTGTTGGGAGGCAAACTCTAAGGTGCATGGAGCAACAGGGTGATGGGGAATGAGGGAGGGCTCTGGATGGTGATGGCAGAAAGTATGGGGCTTGGGGGGGGGTTGAAAAAGTGAATTCAGAATCTAGGGTAAGAGATTTGAAAATATGCCCCACCCCTCCCACCAAAAGGGGTCTCCCTCTGTGCCCAGGCTGCCCTGGCACTCATGTAATCCAGACTGATCTTGAACTTGTGATCATCTTCCTGCCTCAGCTTCTGGAGTGCCAGGATTATAGGTGTGAACCACCACATGTGCCAAGAGTGTGTTCTTAGACTGTCACGAAAGCCAGTGTGTAGGAGAGAATAAAGATGTAAAGGCAGGCAGTGCAACGGGCAGTGTATTTGAGAAGTGACGGGGGCTAGGGGACTAAAGGGGCTTGCCCCTGGAGGAGGGCGTCAAATACTAGGACACTTCAAAAGGCAGAGATAGTGACAACTATGAGGAAGGAAACCATGGCCCAACAAGAAAATTTGCTGACTCTAACTTCTAACCGGGCTGTTTATCAGCTGTGTGACCTGTGGTGAGTGGCAGTATTTTCTTAAAGCCACAACTTCCTTTTTGGTAAGATGGGAGCTCTACCTTCCAACTCCAGTAAAGGCATGTAACTGTCACACCTATTTTGGTGGTTGTTTTGGGAAAAGCGCTTTGGGGGCTGTTTTGTTCCCCTTTCCTGGCAAAACAGAGTAACTGGAAGATTCTTCAAAAACCCGGGAGGTGGGCATGCCATCGCCCCAAGAAACCAGGAAAAGGAGTGAGGAAGTGTTGGCATGGACAGCTACATTAACAGAAGCACGATAAACGAGGAGCATTTGTTTACATCGCTGTCACCCTGGGTGACCGGGATGGATTTCTGGAGGGCTCTGGCCCCTGTTTGAAAAAGTGTTGGGCTGAATGCTACTAGAGTCCCTAACATTCTCCTACTTTAGGGTTTCTAAGAGAAGGTCAAGCCAGCCTCTGGGATCCATCTCCCTGGAGGCTAGTTAGAGCCTGTTAGCTTTCCTAGCTTTTCCACCCACAGATCAGAGCCTAGGATGAAGATGTGTTTGTTCATTCATCCCGCATATTTTCTGTGCCCCAGCCAGCTATCCTAGAGCAGCATGGCAGGAACTTGGCTTTCATCTCCTGCCCATCTCACGACCTTTTTTTTAAAAAAAAAGGGCAAGAAACTTGCTGAGTGTGTTGAAGCCCCGCCCTTCCGCGCCCAGCTCCGGGGCCGCCCCTCTTGCCTTCCCTGCCAGGTCCTGCTGCTTCCCGGAGGCGCTGGAGGTACAGCCTGTGGCCCATGGGGCCTTTGGTGCTGCCCACCTGGCTGCAGCCCAGGTAGGGCGCGGGATGGTGGGGTGGGAGGGGCCAGGGCGCAGGGCAGAAGGCCACCCACTGGCTTCCACTTCATGGGCGACGCCCCTGACTCTGCTCAACTTTTATTGCTGCTGCTGTCTGGTGCTAAAGGATCGCATTTTCTCCACAAACTCCGGAAGGAGGCTCCTCTGTTTCCGTCTTTTTTTTTTTTTTTTTTTTTTTTTTTTTTTCCGAGATAAGAAAGGACAGGCACACACGCTCTTCACTTTGCACACTCCCACTAGTCTTTTCCCGTCTTCCTTGTCCCGCTTCGCCCTAGACTTTGGGGCAGGGTGATTTTCAGAGCGTCCAGTAACAGTAGTGCTCACCACAGAAGGGATTGCAGGAAAACTAGCGCCTCTGGTGTGTGTTTACTAAAGCCAGGTGACTCAGGTTGGGTTGGGGTTTGCCCTTCCTAATACCTTTAGCAGTTTTGGTCACCTGTTGACTGTTGCAGAGAATCTGCTTCCCAGATTATATACCTTGTTTCTTGGAGGTTTTCCCTCTCCAGCTAAGAGAAGCCCGTGTTTACATTGACAAGGCCACTCCAGCCATCCTTCTGCACACTGCCTTTTAGAACTTTCTGCAACTAAGGATCTGTCAATCTTCTCTTAGTCAGCAATACACGACACATTTTACACTCAGCTTGACTTCCTTTTTTTTTTTTTTTTTTTTTTTTTTTTTTTTTTTTTTGCCTGAGCAACTAAATTGCTTTCTATGAGTCTGCGATGAAGGGAACTGGCTCCTCTTGTAAAGTGGTGGCAAGAAGAGAATAACCCAATCACAAGGTACTCAGAAGTCAGGTGCTCCCAGTGACTGAGTCACCCAGTTGTGAGCACTCCCCTCTATAACCACAGCCAGCTCTTTCAAGTTCATGCATTTAGCAAGCCTAGCTACTGGGCTTCAGGCAGCCCAAATCAGTCCTTTCGCGTTCATGTTTCCTTCCCTGTCCTTCGAAATTTCAAAGCTATCTTTGTAGTGACTGTCAGTATTAGAGGAACAAGGTTAGATTTTTATCAAAGATAGAAATGAAGTTTGGAAAATAACTACCTTTGTTTTTCAGCAGCCTCAATCAATGTACTCATGTTACATAAGTTCATCCCATTAGACCTTAGGGGTTTGGACAGCCAACCTGACACACGGAACTTTTCTTCCGCTTGCTCAGTGTGACCGGACGTCGTGTCTAATGGCATCTCCCTGTGTTTATAGGTATAGAAAGAATGCATATCTTTTCATCTATTACCTAATCCAGTTCTGCGGCCACTCATGGATACTGACAAATATGACAGCCAGGCTCTTCTCATTTGGAAAAGGTAACTCTGAGGCAGTTTTGATTTTTTAACTTTTATTCCTTGTCTTCATCTCGTCTTGTTGATTTTAATTGTGAAATTCTATGTAGCATGCCTGCCATCATTCCCTTCTCTAGAGGTTGTTTTTCTATAACCATATTTTATTATTTCAAACTTAAACCTTTTTGTAGTAAGGAGAAGATGAGACCAAGCAGAAGGGACCTGTCTTACCCCAGAGCGGGCAGGGTGCTTTGGAAGCAAAGGCATATCTTTGGAATGTTCCTTTTTGGTTCTGTGCCAAACTCAAAAATTTAATGAATTTTGAAGAATCTGTAAATTCCAGCCCAACATTCTATGCAAAGCAATTAATGAAATTCTTCCGTTGATTTTTTATTCCATTGGTTTAGAGTAGCTGAAATTACTGGGAATTGAGTGACAAATGCTATATTCCCCAAGACCCTGCTTGACCTCTTAAGTAATATGTACATGACACAGCACACTGATGACTAGTTACCTATGTGGAGCTGGTGCTGAGGACTTGAATCATAAGCTTCCCTCAGTTTCCTAAAAAGTCAAGCTGTTTCTTTAATCCATTCATTTCAGATGGTTAAAGAATGAATCACCAAGTGACTGTCAAAACAACATTCTCTCTGTGTTCCATCCCCACATGAGTGAGTGTCATCACAGTTTACAACTGTTCGGTGACTCGACAATTTGAGCAACTGCTGGTTTAGCTAAAAACAAACACAAGCATGGCTGGAAAAAAACAGTGCTGAGTTCATCAATTGAGACTCACGTATCATAAGGCAACCCATCTCCTGGGCTGACACAGACCATTTTATGTTTCTCAGTCTTTCTGAAAATGTACATGTTCTTCTTGCCTTTGGTGGAAGGCCATCAGCTGTGTACCTTTGAAGGTTAGGTGAGGCTGTGTGAGCAGATGGCAAGTCACTAAATCCTGTGCCTCAAACAAGAATGCAAATGTGCCCACCCTTTGGCCATCAGTGTCTTTATGATATGCCACTGCAATTGTAGCAGCTATGTATGATTAGAAAAACATAGATGGTTTGTTCATTTGAAAGGAAGACTGAGAACAATGGAGTAGGAGACCAACTTTCCTAATGTTTTGACCCTCAACCACAAAATTTCATTGCTACTCTGTAAGTGTAATTTTGCTACTGTTATGAATCATAATGTAAATATCTATTATGCAGGGTATTTGATTTACAACCCCTGTGAAAGGGGCGTTCCATCCCCAGGTTGAGAACCACTGTCCTAAGCAATGAACTTGTGTGACCCACTCCTTTATTCTGACAGGGATGTGTGGGTACAGGCAGTGGGTAGGAATGTGGACTATTGGTGTGTCAGGAATTGTCTCCGAGAGAGACATCTATCTTATAGACACACCAACAAAATAAACCCTAGTGCCTGGCCAGTTATAACCATGGGAATGCCTGAGGCAGTAAAAATAGAAAAATCACCATTAGCAATCTCCAAACGTGGCAGGATTTTTAAGGCAACGAGTTTGTCACTGAAGGACCGTCTAGCTGCTTGATTCTAGTTCAGTCCCTCTAAAGGGGATATCTAAGTTGTTCCCTCTCATAACACCAACTCCAAAATTGAGTGTTTAAAACAAATCCAGAGTCAGTAGTCCAGTGTGTGTAGGAGAGTACAAGTGCATCACCAGTGTCATTTCTATAAAATTTCTCTGGAATTGGTTTTCTAGTGTTTTCTTTCTTTCTTCCTTTCTTTTCTTTCTTTCTTCTTCTTTTTTTTTTTTTTTTTTTTTTTTTTTTTTTTTTTTTCTGGCCAATGAAAAAGCTGAGCACAGCATGTTTGTTTTTTGTTTGTTTGTTTTTGTTTTCTTTTTCTTTTTAAAGCAAGTTTCACTCCCAAACTTGCCAAGGGGTTTAGCTTCTGTCTGATTACATTTGTCTGGGAATGATGTGAGAATCTCAAATATTGGGACTAGATAGAACTCTGGCCGTGAAGGCTTTGTAAGTTTCAGTTCTTTCTGGAAGAGGACCAGTTAAGAGAGAACTATATATGCTTTCTGTAAGTATTCACATGCTTCCCATAAGCACCCAAATACTTCTGGAAAGTACCACAGTACTTGGTGGGGTTGTATCCCACTGCTACAACAACACAGTAGCTTTCTTAGAATGATTGAATGATTTTTTTTTACATGCAATACAGAAATACATCTCAGTTGTATTTTTCAGCACTCCGAAAACCATGCAATCTGATGCAGTTTTGACTCATCGTGTCTGTATTTGTCTGTCACTCACTGATGCAGATTCAATGGCCGACACATTTTATGCTATTGGACTGGTTATGCGGGTTTGCCAATCTGTTTCCCTCTTGGAGCTGCTGCACATTTACGTTGGCATTGAGTCAAATCATCTTTTCCCAAGATTTTTACAGGTATGTTTAATCATGTTGTTATTACGGTCTCTTCAATTTCTGACTTTGTCCTGTTTATAGTTCTCAGTGATTTTTTATGGCAAGACTCGTTCATAGGACTCCCTTACCTAAACCACAGCAGTTAGAACTGCCTGTTGGCAGTGTCTGGGGGATGCCCCTGTGCACCACCACATGGACCCTGTCCTGGAGATGCAGTGGCTGTTTGCCACTCTCCGTGGCACTCTTTCTGAAGTAGACAGGACAATGGTCAGGCTTGGAGGCAAAGTGTTTGGACTCGGGTCTGAGGCCTGGCTCATCTACTGGCCACTATGGGGTCATACCACAGCAGCCACTGGGCTGTCAATTGGGGGAGAATCAGGAATTAAAAACCAAAATGATAGTTAGTTCTTCTCTTAAATGCAGGCTGGAAATTTACTACTGGGAGATGTTCCACTTAGGAAATCATTGCTGAGTTAGGACCAAACAAACAAACAAACAAACAAACAAACAAAACAAAACAAAACCCTAAAAATTAAAATAGTATTTTTCATGAGAAAGACAAAATAAGGATTAGGTGACTACATGGATATGCATTAAAACTCCAGGATTTGGAATTGCCATTTCAACGAGCATTGTCTTAGGTATCCTAAAAGAGACCGGAAAACAAACTTTTCTTAAAATATCAGAATCTTGATGTATTTAAAAGCCCAGCAAAGGGGCTGGAGAGATGGCTCAGTGGTTAAGAGTACTACCTGCTCTTCCAAAGGTCCTGAGTTCAATTCCCAGCAACTACATGGTGACTTACATCCATCTATAATAAGATCTAGTGCCCTCTTCTGGCCTGCAGGCAGAACACTGTACATATAATAAGTAAATACATCTTAAAACAAACAAACAAACAAAAAAACAGCAAAGTGCTTAGAATATAAATATAAAACTTAAAATTTGTTATAGATCCCTGAGTCAATTTGCTTGAAATGACATGAAAATTTAAAAGATGCCAATAATGATACAACCCTTGTGAGTGTAGTAAGAACCCAGTATTACAAATATTAAAAGTATTAATGGGTGGTCACAGTAACAATGGGCCAGAGAGATGGCTGGGTAGGGCATTTGCCAAGCGTGGTGACCTGGGCTTGATCTCTGGAACTCACATCATAAAGGGGAAGAATTAACTCCTGCACGTTGTCCTCTGACCTCTACACATGACCTGAAGCATGTGGGTGTGGGGACATGCGCGCGCGCACACACACACACACACACACACACACACACACACACACACACACACTTTAATTTTACTTAGTAAACAAAAATAGGGGAGTGCTATTCTTTAGAATGAAGGTATTTTAAGTACTGAAATATCAAATGTTGCAAAAAGGGGGTGATAATAATGTAAAATATAGTTAAATTAGAATTAACCAGCTAAGAGCTACAGAAAATCTCCTTAAACATGTCACTTGACAATCTAAAAAGGGGCACAGATCAATCACAGGGGCAGTGACTAATTTAGAGGTATTGGTATTTCTGACTTAGCGGGTCTGCTGTATTTTGAAAATGCCAAAATGTGTACAGCAGAATACTAATTTCAGAGTAGAACTAAGGACTCACATTACATGAAAGTTGCATCCTATCACATGGAATTATTCACTGGGAGCTGTATTAAGTTCATCTAAAATCTGAGTCATGTTATCACTTTCACTCTTCCTTAGAGGGCTTTTGACATTTTTTGATCTGTAGGCTAAACTGACTATTATTAATCTCTTGGTAACACAGCATTTTCAAAACTAAAGGATATGTTAGTTTAGCTGTTGTTAATTTACACCATGGATCTAGACCTGGTCAGGAAGAAGACTGAGTGAGAGCTTAAGATATCCCTAGAAAACATACCCATATTGTTTTCTTGACAAAAATTACCTAGACTTGCCCAATAATAAAAATGACTATAGAACTGGGACATGTGATTTCTGAGAGGTGTACAAATTTCAGCACATTCAAGCATGGTTTTTAACACCAATAATTAAATCTCAAATGGCATATAGAACCATTACTGAAACCAAAGAACCAACTCCTGAGTTGGTAACTTAAAAACAATAGCAAATACACCTGCACATTTATTTATTAAACAAGTTTGCTAAGTCCAGTGCTAATGGACCTTTCAGTCTTCAGTCCTGGGGAGGAACACGCAGGGATCAGGGTACGAGGGTTGAGGATGAGCATCCTGGGCTATGAGCAACCCAGACAAGAGCAGCCCTTTTGATGTGCCTGTCTAGCTTCTTCTCTTTCTTGATTGTATGTGTCCCCTGTTTGCAGAATGGGAATGGCATTGAAAAAGCTTTATAAAGGCCTCATACTCAAAGTCTCACATTGGGTGTCTTTCCTGACTAAAGTTCTGCAGACAATTAGAATTTTTTCACTCTGAGACGAACCCAAGTAGTCTGCTTAAAAATAATGTAACACAACACTAGGTTGTGCAATCATCTGCGGTGTTCCTATTTCCCTATTTTTAAATGAAGAAATGGTACTTAAGGCAGCTAGCTGAGTTACAGTGATTATGGTTGACTGCATGCAGATTTTTTTTTTTAAAGCATCATGTTCTGATGCTTCAAATAGGACAAAAACTATGTCTACAGAGTTGTGATGTTATTATGATATTACCTTCACGGCATCACAAAGCCACAATGGAATGTGCCCATTTGAGATCAGATTTTCCAAAATGTCAAGGTAACTAACTTCAGCTAGCATGAACAATGGATTAGGATTAGCTAGTCGAACTAATGTAACATCTGGCGAGAGCTGGTGCTGAGGGAATGAGGGTAGATTTGGGCTTGTTCATTGTTCTGAGTTATTAAATGTTCTACAGTCACATATCTGACAACAAGCAGTAAACTGTAATTTTAAAAATTATATGCAATTGCTAAAACAAAAAAGCAGAGAAAACACTCACTATAAGACAGTAGTTATTTAACAGACATCTATATTTTATTTTTAAAATGCTCATGAGGAAAAATCCAAGACTATAACACAAAAAGCTGTTTATAGACATACTGTTTGTACTAATTACATATAACTTAAATTATATACAGAAATGTAGCAAACTTTTATATCTTGGTTTCCAGTGGGAAACTTCAAAAGATACAAAAGAAGCAAGTTAAAATGACAGTACAAGTGAAATCTAAGGGCTTTCCCTTTCTAGTTCTTTCCTTCCAAACAAACTTGCATATTCTGTTGCTTTAGTTATGGGACTAGTTGATTCTGGTAGACTTCTTTAAAGAAAACCAAATATGTGCCTTTGTAGAATGGGAATACAGCCATGCCTAAAGGGTTGATGATTTTAAAGGCTTTGTTCAGTCTTCTGTTTTGAAGAAGACTTGAAGCTTTTCTCTATAAATAAAAAAAAAGTGTGGACATTTTAACTTAGACAAATGGGAAAACAACCCTTTGTACCACCGTGTTGGATGGGTATGCCTTATAGGAAACTCTCAAAGGAATGTAGTTTAGCTGACGTCAAGTGGTTCAGTCCCATATCCTGCCCTTCGTCAATCACCATGAACATTGCTACACATCTTAAACATGTTTAGGCAATTAAAAATATCTACAAATCAAAGCGCTACAAATGATTTTCCCTAAGATATAATGCCCCCACAGGTTCTATCCATGATAGTCAAGTGCAGGAAACATTTTGTATTAACCAGTTTCACCAGCTCTGCCTCCTGTTTATGTTGAAGGCAAGGGGAGCTCTTGTCACAGTCTCTTTGGGGAACACATATGAGACTCGCAAAGAGAATGTCTAACTCCCATGTATAGGACAGGGGCTTCTAGTCAGATTTCTCTAGGCTAGGAAGCTGCTGACTTTCACTGCTAGACTAAGTAATTTCTGGACTTTCCATAAAAGTGTCACAGATTTCTCTCCCCGTCGGCTTTGAGTATAGGATTTTATTACTAAAGCTGCTGATGTGTCAAGTGGTAAGTGAACAATACACACAGCTCACTCCATGGAAACGTTAGGGTTTTGTCATTTTGTCATTGTGATCCATGGAGTTCTTCAGTGGATAGGTACAAATCTCTCTTCATGGTGTAATTTCACAAATGCAGAATGGCTTTTAAAAACCCACAGTCTTCATTATCTCTGCAGAAAAATGTCCTGCAAACAGTATTCCCTACAGCTCTGGAATTGAAACCTGGGCAATATGACTCTAAATACTATGTTCTAAACACTAAGATCTTTTCATTTTTGTCCCTTTGGTAGCCACTCCAAAACTAACATCCAGACAAATGTCTGTTCCTTAATGGACTAGGCATTAAATGTCTGTTCCTTAAAAAACTAGGCATTAAAACAAGGACCTTCCCGATGTTCTGAGTCAATACTCTACATACATGCCACAGATAAATAAATAAATAGTTTAAAAAGGTATTTTGAAGGAATTCATGTGTAGCATGAATCCTAGTTGGTCTTAATAATAAAAACCTGGAATCAGCTATAGGGGTTAATGCTGAAATCAGAGAAACAGCAGCCAGCCACTAGTTCTTACTCTACTGAATCCTCAGGCCAAAGGGGCGATCGATCCTGTCCCTACAAATCTCCATACTGAATGCAATGAGCTCCTGTCTCCTCCTGCCTCATAGTCCTCTCTCTGCCATATTACTCCTATCTCTACTTCCCTACTGCTGGGTTTAAAAGTGTGAGCCACCACTTACTGGCTCTGTTTCTCTTTTAGACTGGATCAATCTCGTGTAGCCCAGGGTGGCCTTGAACTCAAGAGATCTGCCTGCCTCTGCCTCCCTGGTGCTCAGATTAAAGGTATGTGCCTCCACTGCCTGGCCTCTATGTTTAACTAGTGACTAGCTCCGAACTCTGATCTTTAGGCAAGCTTTATCTGTTAAAACACAAACAAGATATCATCACCTTTGTGTCTTTAGCCAGAGAGATTGCTCAGTGAGTAAAGTGCTTGTGCCACAAATCTGTCAAACCGAGTTCAAGCCCCGGGGACCCTCTTAAGGTTGGGGGAGAACAAACTGCCGAAAGTTGTTCTTGGACCTCCATGTGAGTACCGTGGCAATCACATCACACACTCATATAACCCTCCCACCCCACAGTTAGTTAACACTTACAGCTAGGCACAGGTGTGGTGGCACCCACCTCAACTCACAGTGCTAGGTAGGCAGAAGACCCCAATCTTACTGACCAGCTGATCTTGATGAGTCAGTGAGCTGTGGGTTCAGTGAAAAGACCTGTCTTACATGTGGTGGACAGTGATAGAAGAAGACACTGGACATCAATGTCTGGCCACCTCTCACATATCTCCTCAGATTCAAACATGTATGCGTGCACTTATAAACACGTTTTGTGGTTTTAAAGACTGTTATAGTTACAATTTTGGCAAAAAAAATAATTTTGAGAATGAAGCTTCTCTATGAGTTGAGAAATTCTTCCTACAGATGGACGCTGTTTTTACCTTCGTTTTTCCTACTTCTTAAATATCGTTTGAAGTTTCATACATTTCTTAGTGAATTTTTGTCATTTCCATGCCTCCTCCCATTGCTGCTGGGAGCCTCTACTCAGCAAGCAAGCCCCCCCCCACCTTCTTGCCTCTTGTGTGTGGACCACTGGGTTTATTTATAGTTTCTTGCTTTGACGCAGCCGCCATGTTCAGGCACAAAACCCTTAATTTTAATAAAGTACCTTGTTATTTAACAACATAACTTCGGCAAATGTTTTAATTTTAAAAAAGTATGTGCGGGCTGTGCATATAGAGATCATAGGACAAGGCTGAGGCGTCTGTCCCCTCCACACCTATGAGGGTTCCACGATTGCTTACTTAGGTCACCTGGCAAGCGCCATGAGCTGCTGAGCTATCTAGCCAGCTGCAGAAATTCCTTTCAAGGACAGACCATTGTCTGGGTGTTAGGGTTATGGAGTGGCCCCCAAAGTGACCAAAATGAAAAGGCCCTACTGTTTCAGAATGCAGGACTTAAGATGTCTGGATTTTGATTCCAGACCTGAAGGAAGTCACTATAGTCTGTGTTTTGGGGTAAGGCAAATAGATAATAATAGTTACCGTGGTGATTAAACAAAAACAAAACAAACAAAAGAAACCCCTGTAAATTTGGAAATTGGCAGAAAATAGTGAGTATTGACTTTTATCAACTTAATATCTCTAACTAAATTCTTCTTTTGAGCTGCCATTGAACACATAGTTAAACAACCATTAGGCAATGAATTATGTGTATGGCAGGAATCTTCCTATGTCCACATGCATGCTGTGGTTGGCATGTGGGGCCATATTGACTTGATTTCTATGCAACTAGGGACCCCCACTGCTTAGGAGCCACAGAGCCTCCACTGATATTTTAATAGAGTTTCACCACACACTCCCAGCACCACTGGTAAAATTTCCTGTGCCCACATCATTTAAAGGGCACCTGGCACCATGGATTGCTTATAAATGCAGTGACCAGAAGACTTGTGCTTCCCACTCACCCATGGTGTGGACAGAGCATTTAAATTCTCTGGTTCCCAGATTTCATTCAAGTGAGAGTGGGGTTGGGGTAGTATTAGAATGTTCTATAGATCTATGGTTTTAAAATACTCGGCCATGAGCCATGAGATTAGAAGTCTATGCTGTATGTATCTCTGTGTGTACTTCCTGAGATTTTTAACAAAAAAAAAAAAAAAAAACAGGTTCTCTGAGTTCTAGGCATTAATCAAATGCAAGATGAGATAGTGCCTAAGTATTTGTGAGATGTTCAGGTCTCCCATCCAAAAGCTGACAGGAGTCATGGCTGCCAGGTTGGGTTATTCAGTTATTTAAATTGTAGTTTAGAAGAGCTCATATAGAAACAATTAAGTTACATCAAGAAGATAGATCATTTTATCTTAAAGACTAACCAAGGGCAAGGAGCCCTGTGGATAACTCCCATAGACTGACTAAGTTTGAATCATGTCTAATTCTCCTTAGCCATGCAAAGGCCCTCTTGACTCACCTCTGTAGTCATAAACATGCTGACATAGCTTATACATTTCTGATCATGTGAACTGCTGTTAGCAAATCTTGGGATTTTTTTACACGAACAGCCTATGATTATGTTGTGGATTATCCCAGAGGTTTTCTCCTTAATCAGCTTTAAAAAATAAAGTCGGCTATGAGAAATGGCAAATCAAACTCCTTTTATATTTTCTCTATTAATCCCAAGTCTACCTTTTGACCACTGAGAGCAAAGAGAAATGCCCTATTAAACACAAAAGTGCAGACTATACAGCTATGATAGTATAACACAGGGCATTTTATACTCTGTAGGGAATGTGGACTGCATTTTATTTAAGCTGGTAATTGAAGCTAAGTCAAAAATATGTGAATTCTCAATGATCTTTAGATGTTTGTAACTTGGCGTATATAACATATATTCCAAGAATGTGTTAAATTCTTTCCATTTTCCACTGGCTTATGAGGGTTAGGGTTATATTATTGGCCCACAAAAAAAAAAAAAAAAAAAAAAAAAAAAAAGACAGCGGGTTCTCTATTGGTGAAAATGGAAATTTCCTGGCCTGTCATTTAAAACCCTTGACAACCCAGCCCCCAGCACATTTTCACTTTATTTCCCCATTTTTCCTTCTCCACACCATGCACCACAGTCTCTCTGCGAGTCTTGCTCCTCTCCCAGGGCACCTCACATTGACACACTGATGACTGTGCTCAGGCTGCTCCTGTCTAGGATGCCTCTGCTCATATCCACTCCACTTGACAACTCCAGTCCATTAAGAGGCAGCTGAAATGTTGTCTCCATGAGCCTCTTTGCATCCTTTTCTAGTATCTCCTCCCTCAGCTGTGCTTCTCTCCTCAGCATGCTGTGCTATAATTACCACTAACTCAGGAGGAAGGGTGGTTTTCACGGTATCATCTAATATGTAGTGGACGCTCCTGTAGGCGTTGGCCAAAGTGAACAGAATATGTGTATATGTCAAGAAGAGAGGAAATACTTTGACTTAGGTAAATGGTTGGTTTTGTTTCATTATACATAATTAGAAAAGTACAGAAAAACAAGCAAAAAAGTAGGAATTTAAATTCATCCATAACCCAGCTCTTTCAGAGACAGCCATTGTTAATAGTTTAGAAAATGTATTTCCAGTTTAGGCATTTCTTTTAAACAAAGCCCTGCTTTTTATTTTTTTATTTTTGATTTTTTTTTAAATTTAAATTCGAAACAAGCTTGTTTTACATGTCAATCCCAGTTCTCACACCCTCCCATCCTCCCCGTCCCCCCATCAATCTCCCTCCCATCCCCTTTCTGCTCCCCAGGGTGAGGCCTTCTATGAGTAATCTTCAAAGTCTGTCATATCATTTGGAGCAGGGCCCAGGCCCTCCTCCATGTCTAGGCTGAGAGAGTATCTGTCTATGTGGGATGGGCTCCCAAAGTCCATTCGTATACTAGGAATAAATATGATCCACTAAAATTGGAAAGTTACCTAAATGGCCTAATGGATGATCCTATTTCTCAACATGTTTTAATAGCTCACAGAGAGAGTGGTCATCCTTTTTGGGGTAATCACCAGTCAAGAGGAAATCCAAGAGAAATATGTGGTGTGTGTTTTATTCATCTTTTGGAATCTACTGGATATGGTAAGGTAAGTAAGCAAAATTGTTGGGCATAGTGGGTATGGTGATGCACACCCTTAATCTCAGAAGTAAAGACAGGTAGATCTCTGTGAGTTCAAGGCCAGCCTGGCCTACACAGCTAATTCAAGGACAGCCAGGACTACATAGTGAGACCCTGTCTCAATCATCAATCCATCTGTTAAAACAAGGAGAAATTGCTTTAATGAAACGAGTAATGGCTGTCCACATTGGTTACTATGAACAAGCAGAGAAACTTTTTGCATAATGTTTGATATTAAAATAGAAATGTATAGGTGTGGCTTCCCATAATGGACATAACAAGAAAAATGAAAACCAATCTTGGTATTCTAAGTGCAAATTCAAACCCTCGGGTTGCCAGTACAGTTATATACTAATGGAAGACACCTCATCTTTGCTCTACCACACATTATTTCAATAATCAAAACAGGATTTTCATTACCTGTCAGAACCCAAAGTTGGTGCCATAGTTAGTTTCAGTTGTCAGTCTGACGCCTGGGAAGAGGGGGATCCTCAACTGAGGAACTGCCTCTACCTGATTGGCCTGGAGGAGGGACCATCCCACTGTGGGTTTGAAAGTAAGTGAGCAATGAGTATTGCTGGTCACTGCTTCAGGTCCTACCCTGACTGCCTTCAGCGATGGATTATGATCTGGGAGTCTTTCTTCCCCCAAGTTGGTTTGGTCAATGTTTTATCATTGTATCAAAGAGAAACAAACTTCAACAATTGGTTTCTATGACTTCAGGAATATTTTAAAATAGGACCTTATTTTTCTGAGGGAAAAATGTACCCCAATATCCATTTCTGTACATAACTCCAATGGAATCCAATGGCTAACTTAGTCCTTTTATGACATTCCCAAGAACTACAACTGCTTCAAAGATCCAGATGCGAATAGGTCCCAAAAGAGTCCCGACTTTTGGCTGATTTGTGTAAATCTGTTTTTACACAACTTGGATGAGTTAAAAAAAAAAACAAACAAAAAAACATAGCCTCAACAATGGGTTGAGTCCTAGAAAAGATTGTACATGTACTTCATAAGCTATTTAATGTTTTAAAAATAGAATTTTAGACTAGGACTTTTGTACCTGTGACTTCCAATTTATAAAAGGCATTGGTTCCTCACTAGGGACACATTATATTGGAATATGATTCTGTCTAACTTAGTATCTTAGACTCAACAGAACAAAGTGACTTTCATGCTGAAAGTGGTAGCAAACTACCATGGGATGATTTGGGATATAGAGGACACAGCAGGATGAAATTCACCTCTACCACTTATTCGCTGCACAATCTTGAGCAAATCACTTAACTTTTTATAAATAACAATTTTATTGGGACATAAATTACCTACCACAATTTAAATTTTTTAAAATATACAACGTGTGAGTTTTTGTACATTCAAAGAGATGTTATTCAGCTAAACAACAATTTTATCACCTATTGGAAATATCATACCCATATGCACACATCACTCCCAATTCCTTCCTCCAGGCCCTGGCAACCTTTCTCACATTATCTCTATGGGTTTTCCTACTTTGTGTTTCATATAAATGGAGTCACTAAATATGTGGTCTCTTGTCATTATCTTCTTTTTACTCAGAATAGTATTCTCAAGGTGTATAAAGTGTTGCAGCATGTACTGGTATTTCATGGCATTTTGTGTCTAAATAACATTCTATTGTATCACCTTAACACCTTTGGGTTATTCACATAGTTGATGCATATTTGTATTACTCCTATATTTTGGAAATAAGACATAATGCCATGAGCACCCATGCACAAGGTTTTGTTTTCCTTATAGCCTATAGTAAAACGCCTGGGCTCTTTTTTTGTTTTTCTGTTTGCAAAACGGGGATGGAAATATCATCTCAATCTATGTGAAATAAAATAATGAACAAAGATCTTACTCAGCCCATTAAAGAGCACAACTATGAAAAGAGCTCATGATGAGAAGGATGCACCCCTCCTAAGAACACAGTGAGGACATTCATACCGTCCAACATTATATTGGAATTTCTAGCCACAGCAATTAGGGAAAACATGTAAAAGGCATCCAGATGGTAGAAAACTGTAAGTGACCTGCAAGTTTAGCAGAGTTGTACAACATAAGAGCAATACAAACCAGTATATTTTTATGTATTTTCAGTGAACTATTCTGAAAATGAAAATAAGAAAAAGAAAAATCCTGTTTGTGATAGCTTCCAAAAGAGTGGAGTATGCAGGCATACATTTAACAGAAACACACAGACCTTGAACAATAAAGATCTTGATAAATGGAAGGGTACTCCATATTGTAGACTTAATATTGTTAAGATGGCAATACTCCCAAATCAAATCTGCAGAACCCTTGAAAGCCCTGTTACTGGTCTCAACTGGTTTTTGTGCAGAAAGTGAGAGGCTGATCTTAAAATCCATGTAGAAACCTGAACTCAGATGAGTCAAAACCTTTGTAAGAACACACTTGGTCTCACTCTTCTCAATTCAGAACTTACTACAGAGCAACAATAATCATGAGTGCGGTACTGCTATGTGGACCAGTCAGAGAACAGAATTAACAGTTCAGTAATAACCTCTTCTAGTTTGGGTTAAATTTTGACAAAAATCTCAAGAGATGCAAAGGGGGACAGGATCATCTTAAACAGTAGCAGGACAACTGTACTGCATGCAAAAGTTCAAGCTGTATTTTGCAATGTACCCTTAGACAGGACACCAAAACCACAAGCAACAAAAGAAAATAAATAGATGACTAAGTTGGATAACTAGTTACTGTATGGTTAACAGTAAGAACTAGACTAGATGCCTAGGGTGCTAAGGAGACACACCTTTGGGTGTTTCTATGAGATTCTAGAGGTCAGCTGAGAGAGCTTTCCCCAAATAGGAGTTGTATCATCTGATAGCCTTGGATCTTGAACTGAATACAGAGGGAAGAAAGGAAAGATAACTTGTGAGTCAATAGACCATCTGGGAAATTCTGATGTGTTGAGATGTGGGCACCACTACCTTATTCATATTAATAAAAGTACACTGAATACTTTGTACTGGCAGGCTTAAAGTTAACGTACTGTGCCCCAAATCTCCCAAGGCCAGTTCTGATTGTTTAATGGGGCAAAGCAACAGACCCAGAAGACAGTAGATATGAATTTACAGGTTGTGGTTTAATAAATTCATCCTTTACAATATGTGCAATTGGGTCTGACTTTTCAAGAAGCCTAGCTGTTGCTGCACAAAATGAGCCTGGCTTTTAAATAAAATTGAAGTCATTAATCATGGAAGCTTATAACTGTAATTTCTTGGGAGGAGGTAAGAGCTACATTCTTGTTCTGTTCAGCTGTATAATTATCTATGATCCACCCCATGAGACAGGGAGACATAGGTTCCTCACCCCACAATATACCATTTTTACCCCATCCATGCTTAAATTATAGGAAATAGAGCATGTAATTCCCACATTTCCAATTTTACTCCAATGTTTAATTTGTAGGAAGGTATTTTCTTCTCCTATTTCCTAAACAGCAGCAGCAAATGATGCTTATGAATTAACTATCTTCTTCCAGGTACACATACAGCATGCTATCAGTCGTAGGAATATCTTACACTGTCTTGACATGGCTCAGTCAAACACTGTGGATGCCAATTTACCCTCTGTGTGTTCTTGCTGAAGGTAAGCGTTCTGTGTTATATTTCTGACTAATATAAGCCATTGATCTCTAATCACTCACTAAATTTTCTGATGATGAAACTGCTATTTTTAGTAGTTCTTGTCTTACTGATGATATGTTCCCCAGTCTATTTCCTTCCTGCCAAGAAACCAATCATTAAAAAGCAAAGTTCAGTGGGATGTAGTTGGATGTTTCTCGTCTTGCCTGTCAGTTCCCAAATAACCACTCTATGGCTTAATATTAATTAAAATTGGCCAATGGCTCAGGCATATTACTGACTAACTCGCCCAATGTAATCAACCCATTTCTATTAGTCTGTGTAACACCTCATGCTCATGGCTTACTGGTTATATTCTGGCATCTTACCCCTTTGGTGGCTACATGGTGTCTTTCAGACTCAGCCTTCTTTCTCTCTGTATCTTTGTTTGAATGTCCTGCCTGGCTCTGTTCTGCCTGGCTATTGGTCAAATCAGCTTTATTTATCAACCAATAAGAGCAACACATATTCATAGCACACAGAAGGACATCTCATATCACCAGGGAGCAAGGCCAGCTTGGTTTACATAGAGTTCCAGGACAGCCAAGGATACATAGGCAGACCCAGTGTCAAAGATTGAGAGGGGAGAAGGAGAAAGAGGTAGGGAGGGAGAAGGGAGGGAGGGAAAAAGGAAGGAGGGAGAAGAAAGAAGACAGAAAGGGAAGGAGAGAGAGAGAGAAGACAGAAAGGGGGAGAGAGAGAGAAGAAAGGAGAGAGAGAAGAGAGAAAGCACAGAGAGAGAGAGAGAGAGAGAGAGAGAGAGAGAGAGAGAGAGAGAGAGAGAGAGAGCATGCATTAAAGTTCAAGGTGGAGGTGACCCTGCACGGAGTACAGCATACTGGGCTATAAACAAGCATTGGAGTCCAAGTCCTTACCTTCATTAACTATGAGTTTGGGGCAGCTCATTTCACTTCCAAGTCTATTTACATACTCAAACTGGGTTTAACATGTAGAGAAGCTAGAGCTATTTTTTAAAAAAATACTTAGAAATTTGGTCATGGATAGAGTGCATCCATCTCATCACCTCCTAAACATCCTCCTTCTGCCAGTGATCATTTTACCCCCTCACATGAGTCTCCACTTTCAGAGGGAGGCCTCTGACTTTTCAGCTAAGGTACTTCTGGGTATAGCACCATGGATTATTATTTTAGAGAGCACATCTCGGGTGCAACTAGACATTTGTATGATTCGTGGTTGCATGTCCATGTCACTGGATTAGTTCCATGTGTACACACAGGAGTCAGCCTGGTCTTTTGCTTCTTTCTCATATGCAGTGATTTGCATGCCCCACAAACAGGAGATCAACTACTGGCTGTATTAATAAAGCAAAATTAAATAACCAAAGTAAGCAGTTTTCAAAGAACTTGAGGCTAAGCAAAGAGCAAATGCTCCCCCCTCCAAGTAGTGGATTTGACAGGCTGCAGGGAGTTTCGTCTGAACGTCAAGATTAAAGATTTTAAATAATGCAAAAAGCATGTTAAAGAAACTAAAGGGAAACAAAGACATTATAAAGAGAGTGCTCTTGTCAATAACAATCATGAATATATAAAGACTAGTATATAAAAGGAAACCACATGTTTTCTATTTACTGATGACTAGGGACAATAAATCAGAATTTAAATTTTTCTTTTGTTTTTAAAAATTACTTGTTAAAAATTGGAATATACTATATTCAGTCAATCTAGAGAATGGTATTTTACAAACCACTAACAACAACAACAACAACAAGAAACCCCAGCCACGGATTTTTTAAGAATGAAATCCTTCATTCATGAAAGATTTGCTAAGTGCCTTTATTTGTCTTGGCATATGAACATACTATAAAGAACATGAAAGGATTGGTGTTGGAAAGAGTAAGAGGTCTACATCAGGAGAAATGCAATTGTATGATATGCACAGCAACATGAGTACAGCCAATAACTGTGTACATTTCAAATGAGTAAATTCAGTTACCTCACTACAAAAGTATGAGATGTTCAATACTAGCTTTCATCATTCAGCATTGTATACATATATCAAATCATCACATCATGATGTATAAATGAATACATTATGATTTGTTAATTAAAACTATACTTGCAAAATATTTTTTTTCTAAAGCCTATATGATAGACTCTTCCTAAAAATAAGAAACATTTCTACTCTTGGTGTTCAGAATTTTAAGCTTTTTCCTTTTAAGGAAAGTTCGTTTTGATATGAATGCCACACAACACCCTCTCTTTTACTAGATGGCAAATTTCCTCTCCCAACAAGCAAACAAAATGTTAGCAGAAGAAAATCAAGGCACATAGACGACACAGTGTTAATGATGACTAACTCCAGATAGAGCAGAAGAGTTGCCTGTGATCTTACCATGTGCCAAATGTTCCAGAGTATAAAACTAGACAGGGAAGGAAACTTACTTAACTTTAATGAAGTTTATAACTCTTATTTAATTTTACAGCTGTAATTTTCATGCCTGATATATAGTCAGCAAATAAACAAAGCTCATATAAATACCCAAGCAACCACTCCTATGTCAGAATGCTTGAGACTTGGAGGCAACCCTTGTTAATCATTAAGTCATGTCTGGGGGCCACTGGAAGTCCTGCACCAATACCACTCATGCCCTATCTATCTGTTTCAGCTCCTGACTTTATCACATTGCAACCCCTTTTTATTTTGGAATAACTTCAGACTAAGAGGAAACCGTAAAAACAGTGCATTGCAGGGCTGGGGAGATGGCTCAGCAGCTAGTAACAGTAGCTGCTCCTCTAGGGGACTTGGGTTCAGTTCTTGGCACTCACATGGCAGCTAACAGCTGTCTGTAACTCCAGATCCAGAGGATCCACCACCCTCTTCTGGCTCCCACAGGTACTGCATACATGCAGTGTACTTATATATGTGCAGGCACAATGTGCACATAAAGTAAAAATCTAAGTCCATTTACTTCACTTCCCCAGATGGGAACAGCCTAGATAACTATAGCATGCCATTTTTACTATATGGAGTGTTATTTTTAAAAATGTACACATGTGGTATAGTTTCATGGATCCTCTATATGTGTCTAACACTAAACTAGCTTCTTCCTACAGAATAATTTAAGTCAGCATTTCTCACAGATTTGTAATAAGTTCCTCTAGGGCTGAGGAGAAAGAAGACATTCTAAGGCCAGTCTTCATGGCACCAAAACCATGGGAGGAGGTCCCTTTCATTATTACAGAAGTTCTCAGCGTCTTTACTGTTAAACAAGCATCGTGTAACTTCAGGAGCAAAATCTATGTAGCGCTTCCCATACCTGACTGTCTCCCTGTTGTGTGAGTGAGGAGAGGGATCTATTTTTTAAGTCACCATTTTAAGGAGGCTACAGTCTTTGTATGTAAGTCTGATGTGTGTGGATTCAAGAGCAGGCACACAATGGGCAATAATTCACTAGGTCAGAGTGCTGGGACAATTTAAGCCACATAATCACTCCACAGACTTCTATATCAAGTTGTAGCTTTACCTAAAGAATTCATCAGTCATTAAAACTGTCATTGCCAATTCAAAATCTCCTTCATTAAAGATACACACACACACACACACACACACACACACACACACACACACACACCTCTGTAACTCAGAAAGAGAATCTTTACCATCATCTTTTCTTTAAACAGCATTCACCATCTATCAGTCACTGCCTTATTTTGAGTCATTTGGCACCAACTCCACCATGCTTCCGTTTGACATATCCACCTATTTCCCTTATGTGCTGAAACTGTATCTCATAATGCTCTTCATAGGTAAGTAGATACTTTGTTTTTGCATTCTTGTGGTTTACACAGCCATTGACCTAAATGGACTGATAAATGCTGGGGGGGCATGGGGGACACTGAAGATGCTTTTTGTGAGGCATCATGAAATCAAGAATTGCAACATTTCACTGTACAGCAAGAACTAGCAGAAAATATGCTTGTGAGATGCATGAAATACAGACATTTTCTTTTCGACCATGAAGACATAACTATAAAGCAAAATGCCAAACAGAAAGATTACCTTTTACCTTTTTTTTTTCCATTTATACCCATTTTGTTCCTGTTTGGCTTTACATGCTAGTACTCCCTAGCAGGCAAATAGGAAGTTGGTGAAAAACCTGAATAGGCTAATAATGACTAGTAAACTAGTAATAAATCTCCACTGCAGAAAAGACAGCATAAGATGGCTCCACAGATGAATTTTACCAAGAGTAACCAGTACCAATTCTTGTCAAATTAATAGACAGTCATTTGGGCCAGCATTACCAAAATTTAATAGGAAATGAATAGAAACTATAGACCAACAGCCCTACTCTACATAGATGCTGAAATCTTTAACAAATACTAGTAAATTAGAAAGATTATATACTGTATTTAGGTAGGCTTCATTCCCAGATGCAAAAATGGTTCAGCCTCTACAAATCAACAAACTACCATATGATATAAAAAGTCATGTGAGTAGATGTAGAAAAGTCATTTGATAAAGTTCAATATCCCATGATAAAATACAAGAACAAGTTATGTATGACAAACCCACAACTAATATCATACTGGATGTCGAAAAACAAAGTATTTTCTCTATTATGAGGAACAAGTCTACTTTCCTTGCTCTTTTCCAGTGTCCCATTCCTTTTAGTCAGGGCAATAAGACAAGGTAAAGAAAAGGTAGATACACAGGAAAGAATGGAGTCAAAGTATTCATGTTTTTGCAGACACATAGAAAATCTTAAAACTGGGTATGGTGGCTAACACCTGAAATCTCAGCACTAGGGAAGATGACACAGGAGTATCAGTTTGAAGCTAGCTTGAGCAAAACAAACAAAAACCAACAGGATATGTTGGAGGACGAGGAGACAACTAAAGACTTTACCTGAACTCATGCATGCTAAGCATGCTAAGTATGTGCTCTACCACAGATCTACATCCCCACTACCCAAAAGCTGGTATTTCCAAATCATCCTTATGAAATCCAATGTCCTTGGAGTCGGAGATCTCAATAAGTATTCGGGATCCTCCCTTCTTGCTCCTTCATCTCCTTCAGAACTAAGGAGAGATCCTCCCAGAAAGCACCAGGAATGCTTTGTTAAATCTTATCTACAATTCTGAAGAGAAAGAAAGCACAGACCTGCCATTGCCCTAATGTCTCCTCATTCTGTCCCCAGACTTTGAACTACTAGGAGAGAGAAACACTGAGTACTAGGACAGAACCAGCAGCAGAAACTTTTCATGTGGGCAGCACCTAAGCTAGATTAACACACTCCACAGTCTTCTCCCATTCAGAGTTCATTCAAAACAAATCTATCTACCTAGAACTTTACACTTCTGATTTCTGCTTTTAAAATGCCCTTCCATACATAATGAATTCTCTAAGGAAGAATTTAAGAACAAAATCTAAATCCCAATGACCACAAAACACACCATATGAACAAACTAAGAAAGTACAATTCCTCTACACAAAAGGTACAAAACACAGGTGACAGGTTGAGGAGTCTAAAACATGGAAAGGCTGCCTATTTTCATGGATTGGTAGCAATTATTCAATGTCCATACTGCTCAAAGGAACCTAGGGATTCATACAATCTCCATCAAAACTCTGTTGACATTTTGAGGGCTAAGATCATCACTCAGTGGGTAGGAGCTGTGCTATACAACATGTGGACCTGAATTTAATCCCCAACATCCACCAAAAAGCTGGGGATGGCCATACACCTCTAACTTGTGGGTCGTTGGAGGTAGAAACAAGAGAATTGCTAGGGCTTGTTGTCTGCTAGCCCAGGTCTAGGTTCAGTGAGAGACTCTGTTTCAGTGTAATAAGGCAGGGAATGATAAAGCCGAGAGCTAAGTCTTCTTCTGGCCACTGTATTTGCATACTATATGAATTAGCACACACCATGTGCAAGGACCATAAACACATGTTAAGAAAACAAATTTAAAAAGAATAAAACAAGAAATAACAAAACCCATAAAATTAGTATGCAACCCTAAAGACCCTAAAACAGAAAGAATAAAGCTGGAGACATCACAATATCCGATTTCAAGATACAAGGCTCAGTAACAGGCAGTATGGTATTGGCATAAAAGGCCAATAAGAAAAGAAAAAAATCTGCCAACAATAAGAATATACCTGGTCTACTGAGTGAGTGCCAGGACATGTTCCAAAGAAATACAGAGAAACCCTGTTTCAAAAACACACACACACACACACATATATATATATATATATATATGTAAGACACACATGATGCTGGGAGAAGAAGATATACATATGCAGAAAACTGACACATGACCTGACACCTACCCTACACAGAAATCAATTTAAACTATCAAAACTCTGAAAATACCAGTGGAAGACTTCAAGATACAGTACAAGTGATAATTTCTTGAATAAGATGTTAATAGTCTAGGAAACACAAGGAAAAATTAATGAAATTAATGAGATAACATTAAATTAGAAAGCTAAGCAAATAATAGAGCAAAAGGATAACCTACAGAGTGGGAGAGAATAGTTACCAACTATTTAGAAGATAGGGACCTCAAAAAATCTAATATGAAATAGGTAATAGAATAAAAAAAAAAATACTAACCATCAGGGAAACACAGTCACTGAGCTATCATTTCAGTCCAGTCAGATTGGCTGTTATCAATCCAACAACAACAAAAACAAATGCTAGTGAGCATGTGGAGAAAAAGAAACTACTGTTGTTGGGAATGCAAATTAGTGCGGCAACTACTACAGCAGTGTGCAAGTTCCGCAAAAAAAAAAAAAAAAAAAAAAAAAACCCTAAAAATAGAATTTCCACATGATCCAGCTGCCCTAAAGAGGGCAGAGGGAAGTGAAGTTAGAAGAAGATTAAAGAGTAGGCATACCCGTGATAATTGGGACACTGTTTACAACAGAAAGATAAGGAACCAGCTGAAGAGTTTGTTGACATGGATGGATAGAGAATGCTCACACAATGGGGTTTTTAGCCAGTATGAGTAATTCCTATTATTCCAGGACAAATGAATGGAAATGGGGGGCATGTTAAGCAAGCTAGAATGTTCTTGCTTACATATGAAAATTTAAAAATTGACATGAAAGTTGAACTGTGATTATGAGGGGCTGGAAGAATGACAGAAGGGAGGTGAGATTTGATCAGTGCATGCCACATGTATGTGTGGAAATAACCACACTGAACTCACTAATATGTACGGTAACATATGTAGGAAATCTGCAATCAAAGTAATATAATCAAATGTAGTGTGGGCTAATAGAAAAATCATATTTGAAGAAACTTAATCAACTGACTTTGTTTTCCAGGAAACTTGGAAAAAGACTTCTATTATTTACTCTACCCTTCACAAATTATCAGGATAATAATCATGTCTGAGAGATAACAGTTCTCAAGTGTAAGAATACCACATACAAATATAAAGAAGGAAAGACAGTTTAGAGGCAGTAAGAAAAGCTATTAGCGTAGTGGGGGAGGGGAGGGATAGCCTGCAGTAGAGTGAGTGGGTAGACATTTGCCTGTATTCCCTTTCTAACATAAAATCTGGATGGTTCTTCATGTGCTGTTCTCGAGCTTCCCTTGTAATTGTGTTGCCCCTAGAATTCTGTGTGTCCTAAAACTCTGCCTGTGTCCTAAAACTATAGCTCTTTTCAAAGACATGGTTAACCCACCTCACTTCCTTTTGCACCACAGGTATGTATTTCACCTACAGCCATCTTTACGCAGAAAGAAAAGATGTCCTTAGAGTCTTTTCTGTCAAACAAAAGAAAATGTAAAGCAGCATTCCTGCCCATCGCACAAGCGAGAAGACGGGCTGGTGGGCCAACCTGCAGCAAATACAACACTGGGCATATGCTGGAGAAAACCCAGAACTTGACAACAATCTATTATATAGATTACTGCACATAGCACAAAGTCTGTTCCTCATCGACTATGCTTTACAAACAAATCCTCAACATACACAGCACATCTTGCTGCACTAGCAGCAAGTTTCATTTATACTGTGTGAAGTCTGAATGTTCTTGTGTAAAGTTCGTGAAAAATAGATTCAGAGGGATAAGTTCAATTGACTTGAGAAACCAATTGATTATCTTGTGCAATCATAGCTAGCAGATTTATAGGAAGGGGAGGCTGTAAAGTATCCTCTTTAATTCTGGGATAACATACTCTACAAATGTCCCTCACCCTTAGAGCCAATTACCTTGAACATTACATATACTTACTCTACAGACAAATGTCCCCATCCTTAGAGCCAATCCTTTGATCATTACATAAACTTAGTTACCTATCTAACATCTTGCTGTATCTTAGCTCAGGCTGTAGCCATGTCACGAAGTGCATCCCCCTCCCATAGGACTTGGTTGTCAAAACCACAGAAATTTATGTTTTCAGTTCTGGAGGCTTGGACATCCAAGAGCAAGATGCTAGCCAATTCAGTAAGATTAGTGTATGTGTGAACTATAGATCTGATCAGTTACTCTAGCAGGAACACTACTAGTTTGAGCTGTAGCTAATAGGCAGACTTCTTGGGACTTGACAGAATGGACCCTTGAGCTATCTGAGGACACACACACACACACACACACACACACACACACACACACACACACACACACACACACACACACATACAGACATACATACATACATACATACATAATACATATATATTCATTCTTCTATAAGACCAGGGAAGGGTGCTCTTGAATCAAAGATGATCAGAGTTGCCTCCTAAGTTGCAACTTATGAACTCTAATTTGTATGATGAGTTCTCTAAGAAAATGGGGCTTTCATTCCAGATGTCCTTTATTCCTCAGTTCTGACCACAATCACCTTCATCAAACCCTCAAAGGTGACATCAGCATCTTAAAACTTATCCCCCATTCTATTTAATTTCGGAGCTTCTCCACATCTACTCTATGACTACAGCAATGTCTCACCTCCTGTATCCATTGCTCTCTGAGTTTGGATTGCTGCAACAAAATATTAAATTGATGATTCTGGAAATAAAAAAGCCCAGTAACAAGATGCCAAGTAACAAATGATTCTTGAGGGTGGGATGAAGATGGATACCTTCTTACTGTGTACCCACATTATAGAGAAAGAAAGCACCTCTCCTAGGTCCCTTTTTGTGAACTCAATAATCTTCAGAGAGGCTCCCTCTTCATCTCTACTTACTTCCCAAAGCACCCCCCTCCACCATCACCACCAAATAACATCTACTCCAAGAGAAGTTAACATCTACTAATTCAAGTCATAAAATGTTTTTAGCAGCTCCTTGGTTAAAATTACATTATGACTGTAACACGATTTTAGTCAATTGCACAGATACCCACATCTTTGCCAAATGCACACTTTTCAAATCTAATCTGTGTTTGGATACTTCCTTGAGGCATAATGTCGCTTTAACCCTACACTTGTGCATCCCCAAATACTATTTGTCTTGGCAACTTGTGTTTTCAAAGGCTGACAAGAGAGAACTTGAAACAAAGACCTCCTTTATGGTCTAAAGAGGTAGCAGCAGCTTACTTGTGTAAAACAAAGAGAAGCACCTTGATGGAACAATTTAATTCTTCTTTGGAGACCATACAGGTAACCAGGAGGCCATTACTATTTCATTGGCATACCTCTGAGTTTAACCTTATTTAGAATCCTTAGAGGTCTAGTAGGCAGAAAACCATGTGACTTCCATCCATGACTGCTCAAAACAGAAAGAACTAGTAAAGAGGGGACTGAGGATTACTTTATTTCCTTCATTTTGTAAACTTCTGTTTTCTTGTGAAGGACAGGAGGAAATACCAGGTTTGAAAAGAAATTGGGCTGAAAAGACATGAGAAATCTGAAATTTGAAGTCTAGGCAGATTGTTCCTTTCTTTGGGCATCAGCAAATGTTTGGTTGCTGATTCATGATGTCTCCAGTGCCCACTTCCTCTTCAGTACTCATTGTCTCCTGTGTTTCCAAGGTACCCTGTAATCCAGAGCTCTTTAATGCATGCAGACAAACTTGGTCAGCTAGGCTAGTCTCAAGCTTCCCAGCACCAAAGGCCTGGTGTTTCAGCAGATTTGCAACTTAAGTGGGAACCAAGGTGTCTGATACAGCAGCTTTGGATCATAAGTTCTATGGCCTTGGTTTTAGGTAAAACTCTTCCACTTTCTAAATATTTTTGCTCCATTTTAAAACAGAAAATAATGCTACCTATGGTATTGTTGAAAGACTTCAAATAAGCTGAGCCTTTTGGTCTCTAGTTGCTAGGGAGTGTACATGGGAGGAGAAAAAAAGCTGGTGTAAATAGCTACCACCTTTTTCTTCATTGGCTTAAACTTATTTCCTTGTAGTACAACTTGCAAAGAAATTATGTATCTGGAAAATAAAATTAGTAGTGCTACTTTGAAGTTGGCAGGTGCACTTTGGGACAAGAAGGTATGTGCCACCTGTGGGTAGAAGTGTGGTGTTTGTGAATCCCCAGGCACTGTCTGAGTGGCAGAAACAAAATCACCTCACATCATTGTCACGACTTTCTTCCTAATGATTCTGTTTGTAGATTTATGATGAGTTAAGACTGAGCCCAGTTGAAGTCACAATAATTAGTGGGCATCGAAATTAAGATGCTGCCTGAGTCGCCAACCATTGTGGGAGGTGAAATTGTGATACTATCATAAACCTTTCACAGATCTCTCCAGTGAAGTGAGCTGTACTTATAAAAAGACAGATCTGAGGAGATATTTATCCTGTTTGCTAGTCTAGCATCCCACCATCTTTCTCTTGGGGAAACTTAGTTCAGATGATTTATATGGGTATAACCCACCTGCCAGGGACCAGATATTTGTTTAGAGACCAACATGGATGGCTTCTAGAGTTCTCACAGTGCTGCTTCTCCTATGCTTGTGGGGGAAAAGAACTTCTTTACCTTTGAGATTGCTGGCAGACACCTTGCCAGGTAGGAGGCACAATCTCCAGAGGAACAGATCACAGCATCGTGGGATTCATCAGACCAGCCTTGATTCTTTCTGTGAGCTAATAGTCTCCTTTGCAGCTACTGCTTTTGTGAATGGGATAACTTCTACTTGTACTCATCACAACCAAGGCTAGGTAGGAGTCACACATATCATGTGATGAACCTAACCTGGGTATCAGATGTTGTCATGCCAAGTGATTTGAATGTGCCTAGTAGTTCTTTTAAGTGTGTTTTATCAACAGGAATAAAATTTGTCTAAACTCACTGACTCAATGATTTCTTCTCTGGCTTCATGGAAAATAGGTCATAGCCTTGTGACCTCTATGGTTTACTTTCACTGGCAACATCTTCCCACACACTTAAAAAATCAAAGTCACATTGCACAAATTTCACAAGGTTATTTTACTAGAATTTAAGGGAGAGAAAATATAATTTCCATTTTCACAAAGAAAAGAAAGTTTACAATGAACTCTGGTCATACAGAAGTCATGTTCTTATTTCAGTTTCCAACCTGGGTGCACAAGTTGAGATGTCAGTATGGAGCCACCTTCCTATGACCTCTCTCTAAGAGGATCAGTTCTCACCGATCTCAGACGCCAGTCTGGAAAAATGTGTTTATGTAGTCTGCCTCACTCCATGGGGAATGGTGCTGGTTCCGTGACTGTCACCAACCATATGCTCTGGTCCATACAGCCTTCTTCTTAAACTCTGGAAGAACTCTCAAGGACAGCAGGGTGGCTAAGAGGACAAGAACACAGGGCATACAGATGCATTTGACAGAGCTGTGCTGTGTCTGAAAGGGTCATTTGATCAAAGAAGGTGTCAAAACAGCCTGGAACTGTCCCACTCGACTAGTCTTTAAGACTAAGTAATGATTTGTCTCATATCTTAGTAGAATTTAGAATTTTAATAGCAACCCTCCCCCCAAAAAAAACACGTTTTACAACTACAAAGGTAGTTATTTTTATCTTTTTTGAAAGTTACAATCAATAAGTAGTAAACTTTGCAGAACTGTTGAAGTTTTTCTTTTTATTTATTTATTTATTCTTTCTTATTTTACATATCGATCCCAGTTCCTTCTCCCTCCCTCCCTGATCTCGTTTTTCTTAATGCCTTTAGTATTTAAATGAGTATTTTTCCTCTGTAACATTTTAGCTTAAAGTTGTGTTTTTTATACATAAACACAATTATCTCCATTAAATGCTTTATTAAAGAAAAAAATTTACACCTATAATAAGGCTGAGTTCTTGTGCTCAGTGAAGCAAGTGTACCAATACTAAATTTTACTTGGACATGTGTCTGTAACGTATGTATTTCCTGTTGTGTTATGAATCCAAAGGAGGAACTTAAAAGAGAAATTCTGAATAGTATAAAATAATAATCCTTTAGTAATTACTACATATTTCTTATCTTATTCTTATTATTATTACATTCTTATTATTAATACATTCAGATATTATGTAAAATAAAAGAATGTGAAGGAATGTAAGGAACCCAGGTCATTCCAGTAAGCCAGTGACTTTGTAGTCTAGTAAAGGTGTGATTCCTTAAGCCAACTGATTGTTTTCTTTATTGATAGCAGTTGTTAGCTTTGTCACTGACGATAGCACATGCTTGAAACAATTGCCAGCCCATGGTCAAATCACACCTCACGTCTGTGTTTAGAACACTACAAGACTTTCAGAAAGACCTTCCATATTTGGGGCTTCCTAAAGTCATAATGTGCCAGTCTGTGAAGAAGTACAAAATGATTAAAACCGTGGTAATGCTCGAAAGCATGGGTGATGCCTAGTTCCCTTGGCAAAGTACTAAGAAGCATTAACTATTAGTAGAAGCTAGTAGAAGAATGTGTTTTAGGATTTAAAAGTAATGTTAAAACATGAAATGTGAAATTAGAGCTGTTTGCATACTTGTCCAATATGTTTCACATTACAAATATGGTAAGAGTCCTCATATACAGAATGGAGAAAAACTTATGGGAACCATCAAAACTGTCTCCAGAACTCTGTCTGAGTTTCAATTCACTGTATTTTTACTTTTCTGAATTTTGAAAATTTTAATTATTTTACCCTTACAGTAACATACCTAATACCATTTATCTAAAAATTAAATTTAAAGGCCCTAGCCCTCCTTTTTAATTCATTTTTCTGACTTGCAAGGCCACATTAAGGACACTTTTGGAAACTATGTGTTCAACTATGCTCTTCTATATCACAGCCAGCAATGGGTGGTTTTACCTATGTTGGACAAGAAGCATGAAGAAATACCTTTCAAAAGATCCTTGGACTTTGCTGCAAAGGCTTCATTAGGAATTTCCATGATGCTAAATAGCCAGTCAATGAACTAGAGTGAAAAAGAACACTGTCAATGAAATAAATCCCACCATCCACATGAGATTAGCCACTCTCTTGGGCCTGCATATAGACGTGCAATAGTCTTTTAGCAATTCCCGCTGGGGCTGGAGAGGTAGAAATGAGGATGGGAAGTAAGAATAACATCAAAGGAGGAGGGGTGCAGAAGTGAGACAGGAATGAAAGATACACCTCCCAAATCAGAAGGCCTCACAAAGGCCACTTCCCCTTAGTAAATAGAATAAGACCTAGTATAGACAGAGTAAGCTAGACATGGGCCCAGGGAACTTTTGTTTATCATTTACATTTTCTCTAGTCACCCTGAGAGGCTCAGAAAAGTCAGTCCACCCCCTCCTCTGAACATCAGAGTCAAGATTTGAGCCTATCTATAGCTGGCTGTAAAGCTATTTTCCCTGCATCATGATACCACTCACTGGCCCCGTATGCATTCTGGCCAAGGATAATAGGCTCATTTTTTTTTTCTTCCTCAGTTTGTTTAATAACTTACTAGTATGTACATTAATAGTCACTACAAACATGTACTCAATTAAAGATGTCTATCCTGTATCTAAAATGAACAGTGTCCCAGTCTGGAAATAACAGAAGAACCCATTTATTTTGGTTAAAAGGAGAATAAAATGCAGAGCTTGGGGCAGCTTCCCAATTCTTATCTGACTTACTTGTGAAAGACCTTTCAGCTGAGACACTCAGTAAGGTTAAGTGCAGCTAAGCAGGGTTCATGGTTCAGACTGTTTTTAAGGAGTGTTGTTCATATTTCAAGAATAAACAACAGATTATTAAAGTTTTGAACATCATAAAAATCCAGTGTTGATTAAAAGGGATTCAAAATAAGAATCTTCCAATCAGCTGTATTAAAGTCTGGATAGAGCCAGATAAAGGCTAAATAAAGGAGACAATGTTTCCGTGTGTTCTGCTGAGTCTTAAGGACTATATCCCAAAGTGCTTCTTGTAACATGGGCTTTTCTGAGGTCAGGAGTGATGGTATTGGGTTGTGACAAAACCATGTTCAGGCTCTAGAATAGGCCAGCTATGGCAGGTACACATAGTGGCTCTGCGAGATAAAATAAGCCAAATGGACCCTTTACTGTGTTATAGTAAGACAGCCACTCTAGACCTACACTTCCCCTGGAACATTCTCCCAGTCACCCCTGAACATGAGCTCAAGTCCCTCTCTCATTTCTAGAGTCATATCCCACACAACACACCATCCCCCAATCTTGAGTCTGTCTGCCTATATATCCTGACTTCAAGAATTGGAGGTAAAATGTATTCTTTCCACCCAGGATCAGGAGCACATGTGCCCTCAATAAGTGAATGAAGATACAAGCTTTACCTCTAGCTGCCACCTCACCATAAATGAGTTGTTGCTGTTGTCAGTGTTGTTTCTAGACAACAGATACCTGAGCCTTGACCTCTAGGACATGGCATAAGAGTGATACCTGGGGTTGAGTATGAAAGCCCTCGGTGTGATCCAAGCTTTGTTTAATTCCCACTTCCATCCTATAGGCAGCCTGACCCGCTAAGCAGGTGGCCGCCACCCCTCACCTTCTGGGTCTGTTCCTTCCATGGCTCTTTCTGTAGCAGCAGTAGCATGCTGCTGGGAAGGAGAGTGAGAACCTCTTGCACAGTGACTCTATGCATCGGACTCCTGCCAAGCAAAGCTGTTGCTAGCCCACAAGGGCCATTCTCTCGATGCCATGGCAACCAACTGGCACTGAGGCCAAGGAGAAGTGGGGCCTCATGGTCTGCCCATGCCACCACTGCAGCTGCAAATATCAGCAGCAAGAAGTCCAAAGCCTGTTAAGAAAAATGAGATCATACGTTTTATTCAAAGTGACACAGGTTCACAAACACAGTCTCCATCGTGATGCAAGGCTGTCTTCCCGTTCTCTCGCCACTCCTGCTGCCCCAGAAGAGGAAACTGCGCTGCACAGCAAACTCAGTTCTAAGCTGACTGAAGAGCCTCACTGCACTTTGGAAGGTTCCTGATTTCCCCTTCTGAAAGGCTGGGTTATTTCTCCAAAATTTCAAGAGAAAATTTATTCTTAATCATATCAAGATCTAAATACTCCTCCTTTGCTGGCGTTTTTAAAGAGAAAGAGATAAACTAAGAAAGATATTTGTTACATGGACAAAATTGATTTTTAAAAACATGAAACATCTGATTTTATTTTCAGACAACAAAAAATTTATCTTTAGGCATTAAAAAAAATTCTGTCTGGAATCCATCCATTCTACAGATTACATTAGACACTTGTAAAAGATTTAGACACGGTAATGGAGACACTTCCAAGATGCTGAATTACTGTGATTTCAATTATACTTTTTCCAGCTAATTTGCATGCTAAGTGTTTTGAGATTTTTTTGTAAGAAAACAGAAAGTTAATAAAAGCTCAGGAAATTGGGTGGGGGGAGGGCTCGAGAGACTGCATTAGCTTAAAAAGTTTTTTTGAAATATTTTTCAGTCTCTTAAGATCCTAACTGGTGAATTAAGATTTTAATAACGTCAGCTGGGTGGTGGTGGTGCATGCCTTTAATCCCAGCACTTGGAAGGTAAAAGCAGATGGATTTCTGTGAGTGTGAGGCCGGCCAGCATGGTCTACAGAGTGAGTTCCAGGACAGCCAGGGCCATACAGAGAAACCATGTCTCAAAACAAAACAAACCCTGTCTTCAAAAAGACACACAAGTCCAGATAAATGATACAGAGTTTCAAAGAACATAGTAGGCTATGCAAATTATACTCAGCCAGGAAGAATGCCTACAAAGAAAATTAAGGTGAAAAAGGTGGGGAACGGGATATGTTTGTATTTGGGTGTTCTTACTACTTCCCACTGTAAGAGGCCTTTTCTTTGGGGTGTCATGGGTCACATTACAGATATGATGACAACCTT